TTCACTGTGTCCCATAGATTTTGGCTGTTGTGTTTTCATTGTCATTCATTTTCAGGATGTTTTTAATTTTTTCTTTGATCTCTTTGGTAACCCAATCATTGTTTAATAGCATGCTATTCAGCCTCCAGGTGTTTGAATTTTTTTATTGTTTTTATTGTAGTTGTAAAATAATATTCTAATATTATGCAGTTGTGGTCTGAGAAGATGGTTGATATGATTTCAATCTTCTTGAATTTGGTGAGACTTTGCTTGTGACCCAATATGTGGTCGATCTTTGAAAATGTCCCATGTGGACTTCATAAGAATGTATATTCCATAGCTTTGGGGTGAAATGTTCTGAAGATGTCAATTAAGTCCATCTGATCTAGTGAGTCATTTAGGATTGCTATTTCTTTGCTGATTTTTTGTTCAAAGGAATTATCCAGTGATATCAGTGGGGTATTAAAGTCCCCTACTATACTTGTATTGTTGTCTATCTCTCCCTTGTTTTCTTCCAGAAGTTTTTTTTATGTTCTTGGGTGCCCCTGTATTGGGTGCATATATGTTTACCAGAGTCATATCTTCTTGTTGTATTGATCCCTTTAGTATTATGAAGTGGCCTTACTTCTCTCTTGTTATGGCCTTCACTTTGAGGTCTGTTTTTTCTGATATAAGAATTGCTTCCCCAGCTTTTTTTTTCATTTCCATTTGCCTGAAAAATATTTTTCTGTCCCTTCCCTCTCAGTCTGTGTGCGTCCCTTGTTGTGAGGTGGGTCTCCTGCAGACAGCATATGCATGGGTCATGTTTTCTTATCCATTCATCCATTCAATGTCTTTTGATTGGAGCATTCAGTCCATTTACGTTCAAGGTTATTAATGATAGATACTTGTTTGTAGCCATTTTTATTTTTTGTGCCTGTGTTCCTTCTTCCCTTTTTATTTATTCTTTTTACAACAGTCCCTTTAGCATTTCTTGCATTGCTGGTTTGTTAGTGATAAACTCCCTTAGGGTTATTTTTTTCTATGAAGCTCCTGATTTCCCCTTCAATTTTGAATGATAGCCTTACTGGGTAGAGTCTTCTGGGACTCAGTCCCCTGCCCTGCATCTCTTTATATACTTCATTCCATCCCTTTCTAGCCTGATGTGTTTCAGTTGAGAAATCATTTGATAATCTAATGGGAGATCCCTTGTTGGTAACTCTCTGTCTTTCTCTCTTGCAGCCTTTAAGATTCTCTTGTCTGGAATGTTTGCCATCATATTTACGATGTGTCTTGGTGTGGGTCTTTTTGGGTTCATCTTGTTTGGGACTCTCTGTGCTTGTGTGAGTTTCTTCTTTCCCAAATCAGAGAAGCTTTCTGACATTATTTCTTCAAGTAGTTTTTCTAACCTTTGCTCTTCTTGTTGTCATTCTGGAACCCCTATTACATGTATGTTGCTTCATTTCATGTTGTCCCAAAGCTCCCTTAGGCTCTCCTCCTGCCTTTTAATTTATTTTTCCAGTTGTAGTTCAGATTGGATGTGTTTTGCTGCCCTGTCTTCTAATTCACTAATTCGGTCCTCTGCTTCTTCTAGTCCAGAGGTTGCCAGCCTTTCAGACTTCATGGACCACCAGTGGTTCGTGGACCACCTGTTGGCAACTGCTGCTCCAAAGGTTTCCTTAAACCAGTGATTGCCAACCTTTTGGACCTCACGGACCACCAGTGATCTGTGGACCACCAGTTGGCAACCGCTGTTCTAGTCTACTGTTGAAACTTTCCGTGGTGTTTTTTATTGTTGCTATATCACTCTTTATCTCCTCTTGATTCTTACATAAGTTGTTGATATTCTCATCCATCTGGTTTACAAACTGTAAACCCTTATTCTGAATTCTCTTTTGACAAATTGCATGCCTGAATTTCATTTAGTTCCTTTTCTGGTGATTCCCCCTTTTCTCTCCTTTGGGCGTTGTTTCTTTATCTCCTCATTTTTGCTCTCACCGAAGGATCTAGTTGTCTAGTTGCACTGGGCCTATGACTGTAGCTTGGCGATGGGTCGCATGTTCACCAGGTGTGAGGTCGATGAGTCAGGCTTGGAGGTGATTCACGTGGTTGGGGCGTCTGGGGTTGCTGTGTTAGGCTTGGCAGTGGCTAGCATCTGGGGTTGCTGTGTGAGGCACCTGGGGTTGCTGTGTAGAGCTTGGCTGCTCACGCTCGGTTGTGGCACCTGGGGTTGCTCTGTTGGGCTTGGCAGTGGCTAGTGTGGTTGTAGCATCCAGGGTTGCTGCGTAAGGCTTGGCCGTTTGTGTGTGGTCGCGGAACCTGGGGTTGCTGTGTAAGGCTTGGCTGTTCGCAGGAGGATGGGGCGCCCGGGGTTGCTGCATAAGGCTTGGATTCCGGGGAGGCTGTGTAAGGCTTGATTGTTTTTGCACGGTCACAGAGCCTGGGGTTGCTGCTTAAGGCTTGCCTGTTTGCATGTGGTCGTGGCCTCTGGGGCTAAAGTGTCTGGCCAGCGGGAGGGGAGCACACTCCAAAACTCACAGGAGCCTTTGACCGAGGAGGCTGGAGTCTTGGTGTTCATGGATCCACAGCTGAGGCAGCAGGCCCCTGGCCAGAGTGGCTGTAGGGTCCCGGGTGGTGTCTGAGGGAACCCTGGGTGGTGGTGAGGCTGGGCTCCCAGTCACAGCAGCTCTCCCCTTCAAGATGGCACGGCCTCTGTGGCAGAGCCGGCTGCCCCAGGAGAGACTGCAGTGGTAGCAGAGGCTGCCTGGCTAGGGGGCCTTGTCTGCCAGCCCCCAAAAGTCCTGTGGAATCTAACTGTCCTTCACCACCCCACACATCCACGCACTCCCCTTTCACTCCCTCACTCACACTCTCTCCCTCACTGCTGTCCTGCCAGCCACCTTCTTCCCTCTGGATTCGTTTTTAGGACATTACATATAACATACTGTGACTGGATGAAGGAGAGTCCCACTGTCCCTACCTACTATCCAGTGAAACCACCCAAGGGAACAGGCTTAGCAGAATCAGCAGGGAAGGAAGACCCTGTTGAGTTTGACTCTAGTCTGGCAAGTCAAAGAGATGGGAGAGGTGTATGAGTTGGATCTCCTTGGGATCCACAGTCCCCTCCCCTCAGGGAGTCGGGGGGGAGGGACAGTGCCAGGTGGGGAGTTTGAGTGGGGCACTACACCGGTCAAATGGTAATGCAGGTGTTCTAAGTTGAGCACAGGGAGGACAGAAACATCCCATGGAACAGAAAGGCAAAAGCTCTCTTGATCTTGACTTTCTTTTTTAATTCTTTATTGTTTAAATTATTACATAAGTCTCGTTTTTCCCCCATTGAGATCTCCCCTTGATTTTGATTTTCAATAGGAATACAGATCTTAAAAGCAGAGCCTCACATTTTAAAAAGAAACAAACTAAGGAAAAATATGTACTGTGACCTTGACCTACAATTCTGGTCTCTTCCTCTGTTCTTTAGAGGTGATTCCTATTATGAATTGAAAGGACACTTTCCAACATATATATTCTAAAATATAGAGATAAAATTTGTTAATATATTTTAAAATGTTTAAATTATAGAAGTTTTAGAAAGACCAAGTCTCTGGCTCCTTTCTCAGTATTTTAATGATAGTATCTATAATAATAAAAGCATAATATGCTAATTAGACCAGACAGCAAAACGACCTTCCAGATGCCCTTCTGGACAACATTCCGGACGAAGCTCGGGCTGCAAGGGCTGAGGCAGCTGCTGTGGCTGCGAGGGCCAAGCCCCTTGCATGAATTTCGTGCATTGGGCTTCTAGTCAATATATATAAAAGGCTAAGTGACTGACCGTACATACGTCCGACCATTCGATTGACTGGCTAGCCAGTACATATGACGCGCACCGACAATTTAAAAATAAACGTTGACTCGCACATGCATGATCCATATAAAGCTCTCGCTGGCACAAATCACACACATGTGTTTTGATCTGTCATTGATGATCGTGAATTTGGTTGTTTTTCTTGACATTCTGAAGCTGAAAGAAAGCCGTATCATCAACAGATTATGTCTGAAGACCAACTATTGGCACAACTGTTCCTATCTGACATTAGCCTCCCAGTTAAATTAATTCGAAGACAGTTTCCTGTGATTCCAGCATTTGCAATGACTATTAATAAATCACAAGGACAAACTCTAGACAGAGTAGGAATATTCTTACCTGAACCCGTTTTGGGTTGTGGTCAGTTATATGTTGCTTTCTCTCGAGTTCGAAGAGCATGTGACATTAAAGTTAAAGTTGTAAATACTTCATCACAAGGGAAATTAGTCAAGCACTCTGAAAGTGTTTTTACTCTTAATGTGGGATACAGGGAGATATTAGAATAAATTTAATCAATTTATCAGTCCTTGTTTTTATCAATGTTGTTTTTATATCATGTTTTTGTTGTTATATGTTGTTATTGTTTACTTATTAATCAATTTATATATTATTTTCATATACATTTTACTAATTTTTTTTCATTTCTGACACGTCTATTATAGAAAATGGTGAATAGTGATATTAAAATATTTCTTCTAATTAATTTCCTTTCAATATGCACAAATCTGTGCACCGGGCCACTAGTTTTAACATAATTGATTCTGCTTTATGAAACGGCTTCTCAAGCATTTTTTGTTTACAATGCTATATGCTGACGATTAGTAAGTAAAATAAAAAAAAGACTCACATAAAGAAAATGCAGGTCTGTTTTTGAAAAGTTAGGAGTAAATGCTAAGATTACTATTTTTTTTTTATTAATTATTGCTTAAAGTATTACAAAGAGTATTACATATGTCTCCTTTCTAAGATTACTATTGAGTGAATTATGAATTTGTTATAAGTTAGGGAATATTTTTTAGATTTTTAAAATTAAGTCCCTGACATGAATTCAGTATAATATTGTAAAGAAATAGATTGTTTTTACTTTTCAAAATGTAACTATTTTTATCTGCTTGCAAAAATGAACTAAAAACATTTCTGAGAATCTTATACTAAATTATTCCCATTTTCTCTTTAGCAAAATGATCAACTTATCTGAACCAGATACAATTGATGAAAGAGCCATTAATAAGAAAAAGCTCACCCCTTTCACTGTTTCTGTAAGTATTTATGTTGTAAAATGTAAAATGGAAGGCTTTTCTTTTATTTTAAAAAATATCTTCTTATTGATTTCAGAGAGACAGGGAGAAGGAGAGAGAGATAGAAACATCAATGATGACAGAGAATCACTGACTGGCTGCCTCCCACTGGGGATCAAGCCCACAACCTGGGCATGTGCCTTTGACCAGAATCGAACCCAAGACCCTTCAATCCGCAGGCCGACACTCTATCCACTGAGCCAAACCAGCTAGGGCTGGAAGGCCTTTCTTAATGGATGTTTGGGCCCAAGTAAAACCTATGATTTAACATAATTTCAGTTTCATATAAAAACTAGGTTTTTATTAAATAAAAATTTAGCTGTATTTTGTAATCAATGGAATTAAGATCCAAAGTACTTTTTTAAACTTTATTTTTTTAAATTTCTTTATTGATTAAGGTATTACATATATGTCCTTATCCCCCCATTGCCCCTTTGGATGAACTTCTTTATTTAATATAATAGTATTCAGGTTATATTATTATAATTATTGTTATTTTTATTAATGAATATTTGCTGTGTGCCAGTGTTTTTATTGGTTGGTTGGAAAAAGAAAAGTGCATAGTTTTACTGTTTCACAAAATTTTTAGCTATTTTAAAAAAATATATTTTTTATTGATTTCAGAGAGGAAGGGAGAGGGCGATAGAAACTCAATGATGAGACAGAATCACTGATTGGCTGCCTCCTACACACCCTACACTGGGGATCAAGCCTGCAACTCAGCACGTGCCCTAATAGGGAATCGATCGGTGACCTCCTGGTTCATAGGTCGATGCTCAACCACTGAGCTATGCCAGCCAGGCTTTAGCTATTCTTTTTGTACTAAACTGTTCTGTAGTCAGCTTGCCCATTCACATATTGTTCAAATTCAGGAATTTATAGTTACCACACTTTTCCATCAAAATGTCTAGTTCAGTGGGTGGATGTCAATATTTATCAAGTACTAACTAGGTACTAGTCACTCTTCTAAACATGAGTTATCCCTTTGACTCCTCCCTGCAGCCTTAAAATAAGATATTATGACTTTAAAGAGGATGAGACTGTGTCACTGAGAGGGTCTACAGTGTCCAAGTCAGGGTGTGGTCCTAATGGTCTGGCACCAGAACCCAGCCTTTTCATCCCTGTGCCGTACTGCCTCTCACATGGTGGGAGCAGCAGCAACTATTTCATGTGCGATTCACAACTGCAGCTGTTAGAAGTGAGCTACTGCTGAGCTGTTCCCTTCTTTTTTGTTGGAAAGTACAATCCTTGATTTTGGTGAAGTTGTTAAGTCTCTCCTATAAGGAAGCTATGACCTTAGGGCAGTGACAAATGGTTAATTCCGGACTATCCAAGTGTTACTCTCATTTCCGGTCATCTTTGAGAATTATAGAGTAAGATGTTGACCAACATAACTTTTTGTCCCCCCCTCCAATAAGCCAATACTGTTGTATATCCCTAGCACTTTCTATGTTAGAATCCAAGCCACAAAGTACTATTCTTTAAAAAGCCCATTTTTGATTTTAATTGTCAGATTGTGTGTGTGTTTTTTTTGTTTTGGGGGGGTTTATTTATTTGTTTTTTGTTTTTTTTACATCTTGTGTCAGGATGCTTCATCTAATACTATCTATGATTGTTGAAAACATTCATTTATGTCTTATTTCTAGAATACATGTCACATAAATTTTTTATGGCACTGAATCAGAAATTCAGCATTTCTTACTGTTGTATAAATTTATTTCATTTCACTTTTAATACTTATATGCAGTGTATTCAAGAAAATAAAGAAAATTATTCTGTAACTATTTTTCAATAGCTACAGGATGGGTCCGAGGTGCTAAGTCCTTGATAGTTTTATTTTTAGAGATAGCATTCTTCCAGTATGAGTATGTGGAATAGTCTAGGTCTCAAGGATGCTTGAAAGAGTGTGCTAATGTAGAATGAGAAAAGACAGGCCTCTGGGAAGGGGCGAAGTACTACTGTGGATATTAAATCTGTTTTGTTTATTCAGTAATTTTAGAGCTCTGGAAATAGATCTGCTAGAAAACTACCAGTTTTTCATGAAACTTTATCCCAAAGAGGTGTAATTCATTTGTAAAAGATTGTAAAGATAGTGATAATACAGTTACTCACTTTATGATGATAGGGTTACATAGTATCATGATGTATAGAAGAAGAGAAATATAAAAAGGATGAAAATGACATAACTATGAAAGCAAGGGAAAGGGACACATCAGGTAGTTAATAGCAAGACTCATTTTTTTTTATCTTAGAGAATTTCTTGTCTTCTATCCAGTGTACTACTGAGCTGCATTTTCTTATTTATCATTATTGAAAGAAAAGTGAATTATATAAATAAGACTGAAAAGCAGATTAGTGATTTAGGGACCAAAAAGTCAGGAAATTAACAAGAGTTGGTATAGTTGGTATAGGAAATTGAAATCCAGTGCAAATAATATACTCACATACATACAGAGTATACATGTATATCCTTTATACTTACACATATATACAAATGTACAGATAAAAATATGACCTTAATTTCACTTTATATACAATTGCAGCTAAAGTAGGGAAATCACAGAGCCCATTTGGATATTCCAAATGAAGTAAAAGTGGTGATATATAAAATTATGAAATCTGAATAACAAACCATGCCTTTATTTTTATTGACCCAATAATTATCTAGCACATCCCTCTCAAAATTATTAACAAAAGTGAACTCATCTGGAATTGGAACTTTATGAAAAATGAAAATTTGCAAAGTGGTATGAATGAAAAGAATTTCATTACCTATATGAGCTTGTTAGCAAAGAATCAAATAGTTAATTAATCAAAATAGAAGTGACATGAGAAGCCATCAGAAACAGCAGTATAAATTTTTCTGCCTGGGAAAGTGGGCTATATCTTAGGCACAGACAGTCAGTGATGTACAAAAAAGATGGGAGAGAATGGATGGGTAACCCAAGATAAACTGTGATATTTGACTGTGTCTTTTGTTAGCATCTCCGTAAGATATCCTATTTTACAAATTAAGACACCAAAACTCAAGGAAGAACAATACCTCTCTCATGACCCAGTTGGTGGAGATTCCCTATTGTCCTTGTTTCTCTCCACTAACACAGGTCTTCAGGAAGGAAGGCTGAGCACTCAGGGCAGTTGCCCATGTCAAGACTTGGAGAACAACCTCTTTATGGGGTGCTCCTGTTACTTCTTGGTCTTACAGTATTTGGAATTGGCTTTAGACAGTAGTGGTTGTCCTATTCCCTACATACCAGTAAGCCAATAATGTTGTATTTACCAATTAGAAAGTAACATTTATTTGATGAAGTAGATTTTAGCTTCTAACTTTCAGTTTGTTTTTTAAGCTAATAACTTATAAGTCATTTGCTATACTTGTAGAGCCAATGGTTTTAAATAAAATTAACATCAAAAGCTGGTTCCCCATGTATCAACAACACCACCTGTTGATGAGACAAAGCTGAGTTTTACTGCTTATTGCAGTTAGACAAAAAACCACCTGCAATTCCTGGCAGTGTTTTGGGAGCTCTAACAGACCTTCTAACTTGGCTGAAGCATAGACTATATAAGTAGAATGTCAAGAGATGAGGCCAGAGTCAAATCCTAAGTGTTTTTGATTGCCATATTACAAATTTGGACTTGACCCTCTCCTTTCCCTTCTTGCCTTTACTCACTCTTACCCATTCATCCACTTATTCAATAAATATTTATTGAGCATGTACCATGTGTTAAGTATCTGGGAAACAGCCCCAAACATATAAAAAAAGCCTCTGTTATTATGTTATATACTAGAGGCCCAGTGCACAGATTTGTACACCAGTGGGGTCCCTCAGCATGGCCTGCGGGGATCCAGGGAGGAGCTGCTCCCGCTCATCCCGGCCCTGCTCATCCTGGTCAGCTGAGCGGTGCTCTGCTTGGGAGCCCCACTCATCTTGGTCAGCTGAGTGGTGCTCCTGCTGTGGGAGCACACTGACCACCAGGGAGAAGCTCCTGCATTGAGCATCTGCCCCCTGGTGGTCAGTGCGCATCATAGTGACTGGTCAAGTGGTTGACTAGTCGCTTAGGCTTTTATATATAGAGATATGATATACATAATAATAAACATATAAATATATAATACTAGAGGCCCAGTGCACGAATTCATGCACTGGTGGGGTCCCTCGGCCTGGCCTGCACCCTCTCACAATTCAGGACCCCTCCGGGGATGTCAGACTGCTGGTTTCAGCCAGGTCCCTGCAGGCCAGGCCAAGGAACCCCACTGGTGAACGAATTCATGCACCGGGCCTCTAGTATGCATATAATATCTTTGGTTAATCTCTTCCTGCCCTCCCCTCTCCCTCCTTCCCTCTGAGATTCATCAGTCTGTTTCATGTTTCCATGCCCGTGTGCTGCGCGTCTGCCCCCTGGTGGTCAGTGTGCGTCATAGCTACCAGTTGAACAGTCACTTAGGCTTTTATATATATAGATGTCACAGAATGCTAAAGAGTAAAATCAGGTATAGTGAGTGCCAACAGAGGTGTGGTGATGCTTGCTATTTTGTATAGGATAATGAGAGAAGGCCATTAGGTGCATTTGAGCAATATTAAAGGACTTGTGGATATTTGGGGGAAGTATGTTCCAGGCAGAGGGAATAGCCAGTTCAGAGGTCCTATATAGTGAGTGAGAGGACATAGTAGGAATTATAGGGAACTTGAAGGGTTTTCCAGTGAGGGAACACCATCAAGTTTCTATTTTACTAAGATCACGAATAGCACAATATTGTGGAAGATGGATTGTAGATAGTTTGAGATGGGTGTTAGGAAGGAACCAAGAAACTGAAGAAAGGCACCGACAGTTTCCACAGGTATTTAGAAGGTGGAATTGACAGACATTGGTGACTAGAAATGGTAAGCAAGGAAGAAAAAGGATTCTGCTCATATTTCTGACTTAGGAAGAAAGAAGGCAAGAATGAATGTTGGTCCTATCCACCAAGACAGGAAATAAAGAAAAGCCAGTTTTAATAGATAATTAGAGGAAGACCAAGGAAGCATGGCAGGAAAATTGCTTCAGTTTTGGACATGAGTTTGAGATACTTGTGAAACACCCAGATAGACCTAACCAAGTGAGTATATAGGTATAGAGTTTAGAGTGGGCACTGAGAGAAAGTGTGGGCTGAAGGTATGGATTTGAAAATCATTGGCATATAGAGGTAATAGTTAAAACCATAGAAAATTTCTTTTAAATATTGGTGCTTTGCTTATTTAAATATTATGTTTAAAAACCTGAAATTTCACAATCCTTTGTTTCTTATTTACCTTCTTAACTTGTTGATAAGACTTTAGAAAGTACTTCCTCATGGGTATTTTTCTTTGTGGCAATTCAGGAAAATTTAAACCTAGCCCTGAATTCTGCCTCAGCCATTGGATGTACAGTGGTCAATATTGGTGCACAGGATCTCAAAGAAGGAAAACCTCACTTGGTCTTGGGACTTCTCTGGCAGATCATCAAAGTTGGTCTTTTTGCTGATATTGAGATTTCCAGGAATGAAGGTATGATCATCAAAAATATTTACTTTTCATTTACGTACACTTGCTGCAAGAAGAATTTATATTTCTATGTTTTCCTCTCAGCTCTGATTGCATTGCTAAATGAAGGTGAAGAACTAGAAGAGCTGATGAAGCTTTCTCCAGAGGAGTTATTGCTGCGATGGGTGAACTACCATTTGACCAATGCAGGATGGCATACCATCAACAACTTCAGCCAAGACATTAAGGTTTATATTTTAATGTTCAAATTTGTAACATAAAGTAAGGATGCAGAATATAAAAACAAAAAAGATACAGACTTGCCTGGCCAGTGTGTCTCAGTGGTTGAGCATCAACCTATGAACCAGGAGGTCATGATTCCATTCCCTGTAGGGCGCATGCCCGGGTGGTGGGCTCCATTCCTAGTAGAGGACACTCAGGAAGCAGCCAATCAATGATTCTCTCTCATCATTGATGTTTCTATCTTTCTCCCTCTCCCTTCCTCTCTGAAATCAATAAAAATGTATTTTTTTAAAAAGAGAAATACAGACTTAAATTTGGATTGGAATTTAATTCACAAGGGCACAGTTTAGGAAATGAAATTTTGCATTTCTCTGAGAATTATAATCACAAAATCTTATATTTAAAAAGAACTGCCCTAGCTGGTTTGGCTCAGTGGATAGAGTGTTGGCCTGCGGACTAAAGGGTCCCAGGTTCGATTCCAGTCAAGTGCACATGCCTGGGTTGTGAGCATGATCCCCAGTAAGGGGCGTGCAGGAGGCAGCCAATCAGTGATTCTCTCTCATCATTGATGTTTCCATCTCTCTCTCCCTCTCCCTTCCTCTCTGAAATCAATAAAAATATATTTTAGAAAAAAAAAAGAACTGGTTTATTGGCTTTTAATAGGAAATACAACTGGCTATGAAATGAAGGAGATACTCCTTAGCAGATAAAAGCATTCTTTCCATTTTATATTACACAGATATACTAAATTATAAAGTGAATGTCAGTTTGAGAATTACATCTGTTTGATGCACTAGAGGCCCAGTTCAACACTCTTACTGCCACTTTGCCAATAACCAGCTAATAGGAAACCAAATTATCTGAGGGCACAGAGAATCAGTAGGCAAAAGGAGGTCTTCAGGTAGGTCTCTCAACCACGGTAGCTTGAAACACTTCCCTCGCTACTGGGAGACCATTGTCAAGGAAACTAACATTCAGTCTGCCTAATAACTGTTATTGTCACTGCGTAGACAGGCATTGCCAAATTGGGTCCCTGTGACTCTTCTCTATATGCTTTTTTTGTGTTTGTTTTTCAGAATAATCAGTGTTAACAGTAACTCATATTTTCTCTTTAGATATATTAACACCTTCAGTCAGGTTATATTTTTGCCCTAATGGCCTAGATGACAATCTCTCTTTGAAGTGACATTGTATTTCTCTGCTTTCATCTAAAATATGCTCATTTAAAATTTTATTTGGGGGGACTCTCTCTCTTTTTCTTTTGGTATTTCTACAAACTTTCTTTTATATGACAGGTGAGTTTAGTTCAGCAAATCTAGCTCCAATTTAATGTCATGTCTTTAACATACAAATGTGATAATTTTTAAATATTTGCCACAATTTTTTTTCAGTTTAGTCATTATATTAATCATTTTTAAAAATTAAATCTGTATTGTTGAAAATATTACATATGTCCCCCTTTCCCCCCCCATTGACCCATTCTAGCCCATCCCTATCCCCTACCACAGGCTTTCACCACCCTATTGTCTGTGTCCATGGGTTATGCATAAAGGCATATACATTCTTTTGTTGATCTCTTCCTCTCCACCCACCCTTCTCCTCCTTCCCTATGAGATTCCACAGTCTGTTCCATGCTTCTATGTCTCTGGATCCACTCCATTCATCTGTTTATTTTGTTAATTAGATTCCACATATAAGTGAGATCATGTGAGACTTTGTATTTCTCTGACTGGCTTATTTCATTTAGCATAATACTCTCCAGGTCCCTCCATGCTGTCTCAAAGAGTAAGAGATTCTTATTTTTTACTGCTGCATAGTATTCCATGGTGTAAATGTACTACAGCTTTTTTATTCACTTATCTACTGATGGGCACTTGGACTGTTTCCAGATCTTAGCTATTGTAAATTGCGCTGCTGTGAACATAGGGGTGCATATATTCTTTCTGATTGGTGCTTTGAGACTCTTAGGATATATTCCTAGAAGTGGGATCACTGGGTCAAATGTCAGTTCCATATTTAATTTTTTGAGGAAACTCCATATTGCTTTCCATATTGTCTGCCAGTCTGCATTCCCACCAGTAGTCAATTAGTGTTCCTTTTTGTCCACATCTTCACCAGCACTTGTCGTTTGTTGATTTGTTAATAGTAGCCATTCTGAAAGGTGTGACATGATGCCTCATTATCGTTTTAATTTGCATCTCTCTGATGATCAGTGGCTTTGAGCATTTTTGCATGTTTCTTGGACATCTGTATGTCCACTTTGGAGAAGTGTCTATTTTGGTCCTTTGTCCATTTTTAATTGGATTGTTTGTCTTCCTTTGGTTAAGTTGTATGAGTTCCTTATATATTTTGGATATTAAATTTTATCAGATGTAACATTGCCAAATATGTTCTCCCATAGAGTGGGCTCCCTTTTCAATTTGTTGATGATTTCTTTTGCTGTGCAGAAGCTTCTCATTTTGATGTAGTCCCATTTGTTTATTTTCTCCATAGTTTTCTTTGCCCTAGGACAGTGGTTGGCAAACTCATTAGTCAACAGAGCTAAATATCAACAGTACAACGATTGAAATTTCTTTTGAGAGCCAAATTTTTTAAACTTAAACTATATAGGTAGGTACATTGTTATTAACTTAATTAGGGTACTCCTAAGCTGGCCTTTGCTAAAAACGTCCTCAGTCTGATTGAGGTACGTTCGCTGAGGTCGACCCCTTCCAACTCTCCCATCCACACTCATCTTGTATACTTGTTTCATCTATCTTTTGTCACCCATGCGTGATTTGCAGACGCAACTAGCACTAACCACTGCACAATGAGACTGCTGACTGACTGGCTCACTCAACTCATGCATGAATCGCATGCACCTCCCCCGCACTGCATATCCCCGGGCTGCCTGCGCCGCCTCTCCCCTCGCCCAACCGACCGACACCCCCCAGTTCTTCTAAACGCCACTTCTTCAAAATAGACTCGCCCAGGCCGAAAACCAACTTCTGCGCATGGGCCACGAAGTTTCAATCGCACTGTACATGCATGCCCGCACGTGGTATTTTGTGGAAGAGCCACACTCAAGGGGCCAAAGAGCCGCATGTGGCT